TAAACTTGAGGTGACGTACGAAGGAACGGACCAAGTACGTGAAGCCAAGATTGACTTCCTCACCCAAGAATATGAGATGTTCAGGATGAAGGAGCACGAGAAGATCGACGACATGTTCGACCGATTTTCCAAGATAGTCAACGATCTTCATGCATTGAAGAAGACTTACACCGACAGGGATCTTGTACGAAAGATCCTATGGAGCTTGACATCCGAATGGCGATCTAAGGCCGATGCCATCTATGAGTCAATCGGCACATCAAATGTCACCATCGACGGTTTAAGAGGTAACTTAAAAACTTATGAATCTAATATACTTAACCCGTCTTTGAATGACCAAAGGAAAGGCATAGCATTAAAAGCCTTCAAAGAACCAACGATGAATGACTCAAGCGACGATGATGAAGTCAAGCTTGTCATGAAAAAGTTTTGCAAGCTTCTAAGGAAGAAAGAAAAGATTGAGGATGGCCCTGTGTGCTATGGATGTGGTGAAGCCGGGCACATCAAGAACAAATGCCCAAGAAGCGAAAGGAATGCTCGTCACTTCAAAAAGCAAAGAGCATATGTTTCTTGGGGTGGCGACTCCGGCGACGAGTCAACCGACCAAGACGAGGATGAAGCTGCCAACCTCTGTCTCATGGCACACGAAGACCAAACCGACAATGTACAAGAGGTATGTACCATTTCTCCCGACTCTTACACTTTTGAAGAAATGCAAGAAGCACTTCACGAACTTTATGATGAATTTGTTAGCGCTTCTAAAATCAACAAATCGTTAAAGAAACGCCTTTCCACTCTTGAAAATGATTTTGAAAAGCTAGAAAAAGATAATGAGAAGTTGAAACAAGAAAATAAATTTTATGGTAAAAGAAGCACCGACAAACCGGAGAGTTCCTCAAACGAATGTGAATCTTGTAAAGCTTTAAAGGAACAAGTCACTAAACTTGAGAGTACGGTTAAGAAATTTAATACTCCACACAAAGATCTTAATTTACTCCTTGACACCATGCACTTTTCTAAAGAAAGAATAGGTTTTAATAAAAATGAAGCTAAGGATAAAGAAAACGTTGAGCAAACACCTAGACAACCTCCTAAGGCTCAACGTAAGAAAGCTAAAAATCAAGTAAATAGAAAACCTAGTCAATCTAAGAACACTAGACAACCTAGACAAAAACCTAGGAATGAAAACGTTCATGGTAGACAACCTAAGAAAAATTATCAAAA